GTTGAAACTGAAAAGACAAGATGTTTGAAACTTTTCCAGATTCTAATTGTTTTTCAGTTTCAAACATTTTTTTTAGTTTAAATTTTTTTTTTTGCCAGTTTCAAAATTATTTCTCATTTTCTAATCTCCTTTTTTCAGTTTCATTTTGTTTAACAAACCTTATGACCCCAATTTAGTTCCATAGAGTCGGGCAGAGAGAGCAGTCTGTAACGTTCAGCTTTGTGTTGTTTCTGTTGCCCAAACTATGACCTGTGAGAAGTGAATCTCATTGGCCTTTCCTAAATAGACAGTAATCTAGTAAAACAAACCAAGATTTACTCACAGAACAATGGGAAATCATGAGATCAAATTCTTTGATATAATTACTAATAAAACAAAGACTTTAGTTCTAGACTCTTGGTGGATGTGTGGCGTTCAAACATCAGCTTCATGAAATAAAAACCTCAGTTTAGATTCTGGTTTCCCACCAGGGTAGTGTCCTCCACCTGAACCAGAGTGTTGTGAAACAGCCCGGCTCCCTGCAGCTCGTTCCACTCCACGCTGAGTCTGTGTGCAGCTGGCTAACATCTCTCCGGATGAACAATGACAGCCGGCCCGACGGCTCAGCCAAATATCAAGATGGGCAAATAAATACTCCACTGAACACTTTCCAGACTGATCATGTGATCAGGTAGCTTCACTGTACAAATCTTCAGTTTAATCCTTCTGTAAAATACATCCTATAAGATCAAAATTAGTTCTTAAAAATTTCTTATCCACTAAGACGGTTTAAGTTTTCGTCATCTGTCAGATGACTGTTCCTCATGCACTAGGGTTAGTCATGGAGTTCCTCAGGGCTCAGAACTCAAACCAAGACTTTTTACTTTATTTACAGTTTTCATCACATGAAACCAGTGAACATAAATCAGATTTCCACTGTTATACTAACCACTGTTCTATTTATCCATGAAAAATAAGATAAATAAGGGTGCACCAATAAATGGATCCGGCTAATTTATCAACATCAATTTCTTTAATTTTGGGAGATCTGCGACCAGTTGATACTTTGATAAGATCGGTGGAAAAGATCAGCTTTTCATCTACCTCCTCAAAGGTCTGAAAATCAGCCACTGTCCTCTTCAGCTCTGCTGTGAGCACCAATGTCCAGTTAAAACAAGTTTGTATTGTTTCAAGGTTACTCAATGTTTTTCATGAAAATAAGATTAGAACATTGAAGGTGTATTGTGAACTTATAACACAGGACAGTGTCAGCTAGTTTCCGCCAGAAAACTGCAATCGGTGCACCCCTAAAACTAATCCGATCAGCTGTAAGTCTGTCTTAGAGACATCAAAATCTAGATTAATCTTGTTTTTTATGTTTTTTGTTTTCCTAAATTCAGAAAATAACTGAAACTGTTGTCTTTTGGGGTTAAAAGCCATAAAAAACATTTAGTGAACTGGTTACTCAGGACAGCGTTGTTTTAGTTTTCAGTGATGATGTGAGAAATCTTGGAGTTATTTTTCTCCATGATATGCTCTTTAACCAGGATCCAGGACTACTTTTTTTGCTTTCATCATTGTCAATTTTAGAAAAAAATCGTTCATATATTTGTTACTTCTAGGCTCAATTATTGCATTTATTTTTATATCGGGATGCCCAAAATGTTTTCCAAAAGGTCTTCAGTTTGTCTAAAAAGCTACTGACTCAGCGATAAGGAGAGATCATATATATATATATA